TTTTTCGCATTTGTTTTGAAACACCCTGTATATTCCACAAAATTAATATTTGGTCACACGTTTACAATATGTTGTAGTAGATATTTAAGAACTAAAATTTTCACTTAAACTGCAGGAATATAATTACAATATTTTTATTATTTCATTTTATTATAATGAATTAGTATATAAAATTATTGTACATGGTATGTTTGTTTACTCGGAATTAATTGATTAATATAACAGTAGTATTGAGTAGACAGTTGCCAGTGTTACTTGATGAGTAATACTGGCAACATCATAAATATATCGAACTAATTGAGAAAATTATTGATTTACCCGATGTCAATAAAAGTATGGTCCATGGACATTTTTAAAAAAGCGATGTTCTCTTATTGTTTTAAGAGAAAACTCTGTAAAAGATACTACAATTTTACAGTTTTTAATCTACCATCGGTACCTGTTTTCTAAATGCCCTGTTTATGATATTTCATATCAGTTTAATATAGTGGCATTAGATTACACTCCATTACAAACTAATTATATTTATTCATACTCCATGTTTACTTATTTTTCTGAAGCAACCACAACGTTTGATCTTGATTGCTTCGTGCTATACCACGAAATAGTACGATAGATATAAGCCCGTGTTATAAAAATTAGTTCCCACGTTTCATGAAATAGACCGAGATGCGCCGTGATTGATTGTTTTTTATTGTTAATCTCGGTATATTTGGTTCTATTTCGGGAAACGCAAGAACTAATTTTTGTAACTCGGACTTAATTTGAGTTTACTTCTGAAAGTATTTCCAGAAATGTTTTGCGAAATATATCCTAAAACATTTCGGGGATATACACAGTTCCCGTCCATTCTGCAGTATTTAACCGGAATATTTCTCCCAATAATTTTATATTGCTTATTATCTAGCTTTTTTCTAAATCTATCAAAAAACATTCAAGGTTACCCACCCTTAAGAACTTTCATCAACAACTTCTTCTCTTTAGGGCAAGTTTCGCCTGAGGTACGTATGAAAATCGCATCATACTTCGACTCCCGACCTTCGCAATGCTCCGACCCTAGGCCTTATCGCGAAAGCCTTTCGCAACTTTCTTTTCTCGGTCCCTTTTGCTCTATCGATTGAGCCAGCGAGTTTAGTATTCAGTCGACGGTTATAGGGAATAAAAGAAAACGCTGCTGGAGGAAAAAAGGAAGTTTAAAAACCCTACGAAGGGGATTGTTTGAGATCTCAGGAACGACGTGTAGTTGGTGGAAGAAGAATAAAGGGCAAGGGCTTTAACTGGGACAAGACAAACAACGATTGTTTGCTCTTAATAGTGGGACAATTTTCTTAAATGATTTTCAAAGGAAACGTTATTGCTTTGTCTTTATTAAAACTAATTTATGTATCATACAGGGTCCCGCATCTGCAGCTCCTATATAATAAAAAAGTTGAGAATTTTGTTTAAGTGCAAACCTAAAGTATGTACTGGGATGTATTTCAGTAAAATATTTTAACTTCTGTAGGTTTGCTCATAAAAGTGTGAATCTTTTAAATGGAACACCCTGTATATTATTGCAAAGTTGGCTTTTTTTGCTCGATCGTGATATCATTCTAATCAATTATCTTCGGAAAGGGAAAACCATTTCAAAAAAATACTACACCTCGTCATGGTACAGTAAATATTTTTACTTAATATCAATAGTATGGAGTGTAGAGGTAAGCAGAAACAACTCCGTGCATTAAAAAATGGTCAAAAAAGGGAAGAATTAAGATGGCGCTGCTGTAGCAAAAACCTAAAATTTAAGACATGCGCCGAACATTTTTAGAACAGATGAATATTTGACGTAAAGCATATATGCACGTGAAGCCGCGCGTTTCAAAAAAATACAAATTTTATTTTCATGTCACATGACATATATTATAGATTTTTATTCAGAAGCAATAGACTAGGCCCTTTTTTGATTGTTTCTCATAAGTTATTTCGCAAATATCATTCAAGACGACGAAAAAATATTGTGATCGTTTTAGCTTTAAATTAATGTTAATTAAGAAAATTTTATTTTAATAATTGGTGCTGGGTGTTAAATAAATATAATGCAGCTTTAAAATAACTTCATACATTTATTTAGTATAAAAATTAAGTCATTATGTGGTTCTATTATCGATTATTCAGAAGCAATAGACTGGGCCTCTTTTTTATTGTTTCTCATAAGTTATTTCGTAAATCTCATTCAAGATGAAAAACTTTAGTTTAAAATTAATGTTAATTATAATTAGGAAAACTTTATTTAAAGTAATTAATTGATGATATGGGATTTAAATAAATATAATGCAGATCGAAAATAACGTAACACATTTTATTTAGTAAAATTAAGCCAATATATAATGTAATTTTATACTGTACAAGTATTTATTTACGTTTTGCCATCGTAGTTGCCATTCATTCAGAATAGTGGATTTTAAATGTTTGATAGTCGGATGGCTTAACTACTTTAACATCAACTACTTCTAGACAAGAATCGTGTGCAGTATTATCTTCTTTTTCACTCCCAGCTATTCCAACATGGTTTGGGACGTGGAATAATATAATTTTATAGCCCTTCCAGATCCTCCTGTCTTCCTTGTAGTTCACCCAATAGACTCGTTCTCGCAGCTTCGTCTCAAGTTGGTAGTTGTCATTCATTCAGAATAGTGGATTTTAAATATGTTTGGTAATCGGATGGTTTAACTAGTAGTAACCAGTATAATTTGCATCCCACGTATTGTACTTTTTTTCCTTTGAATTTCGTTTCCTATTGTCCCATAGCTTGGGACGTCATTTTATAGCCCTTCCAGATCCTCATGTTTTCCTTGTAGTCCACCCAATAGAACCTTTGTCTTAGCTTCCTCTCAAGTTGGTAGTTGCCATTCATGAAGAATGGTAGATTTTAAACATGTTTCGTACTCGGATGGTTTAACTACTGTAACATCATAAATAAATTGTATACCAACACATAATGGCCACACTCCAACAGACTTCAATATTCATAAACTTCGTCAGAAGAAAATATTTTTTGATCCAAAGTTTTTTTTTTCGTTATGAGAATAAATTACATGCAATTTGTTAATTCATTACAACATTGAATAAAATATGCAAAATGTTTATACACATACTATAATAGATAAATCTTCACTTAAAATTATGTGATTTAAGATCTGCTTGCTTGTAGGACCTAGACTCATAAACTCAATTTCTTTAGGTTTATTGATATAACCAATAAATGTTAAATACATTTCTTGAAAGTACAATTTTTAATGTATTTCCTACTTTTACTTGTTTAAAAAAATGCCAACAATTTGTGCATGTCTGTCAAACTTTAAAATCATTAAAAATAAATTTTATTCAGGTCATTTTAGGTTGTAAAAATATACTTTGTACCATGTATATCAATAATCTTACAAAAAATCTTTGCTACACTTTTGATTGACTCTAATTTTAACATATAATACAAATAATACTGAATTATATGTATTTGACATACCGTAGGTTGGAAAAAAGATATCCTTTGCTCTTTATTTTTCCATAAGCTATTCAATCCACTTCGCACCACACACACACTTTAACCATTGTTAAATAATAAATAAAGCACAAAATATGGATAATTTAAAAAAAAAATAAAAACAAAGCTTTTTTTGTCTATGGTAACTTTTAATTTTTTAGATTTATGCGTTTTTAGCGCCACTATGATCATTTGGTGAACCCTTATTCTTCCCATTTTGTGACCACTTTTGGAATAAAAGTCCTATAAGAGTTGTTTCTACTTACCTCTACCCTTCATAATCAATAGGAAAATCGCCACAAAGTGAAAATATACGAACCTTATCATATATTTTCAGAAGAATTCTATTTTTTAAATAAACATGAGAATATAATACAAAATATCTTTTTATACATTTTTTACTTTAATACATATACGAAGCAAACAATTTCAACAAAATGGCCCATTCATATTTTTTACGTCGCATTACACCATATTCTCAGCAATAAACTCAATAAAAGCATATTTTACCACCCACTCACGACTTTCTCCACTAAAATAAAATGCTTTGGATTGTTTTTAAGGTAGATATTTTATCTTATTGTGTGTCGGAAAAGGTTTTCTTTTTTTACTTTTTTATTCCTTTTGCGACGAAAACAAACTTGTTCTTTGTCACACGCTTGCGAAGACATTTTTAGTTCAAGTTTCCCGTCGTTTGAAGTACTTTAGATTTAAGTATCACCTTTATTTGTGTGGTTTTCCTATGGCCGGATATAAAATATATGATACTTCTATGTATTATAGGGATGTTTTAATGTAATATCCGTGTAAAACGCCCCATTAAAAATAAAATGGGTAATAATAAAATACAGAGGACATTTTCTTTGGGGCTCTCTTAGGCATTGCCTCCTCATTACTAAGTTTATTAATTCATTATTATTTAGATGGCGGTGCTTCCCGGATTTCATACCTAGTTGTGTCATAGAAACGAATCATAGCGCCCGTATAGTAAATGCATTTTATGAATAGTTTGATAAATATTATTTGAAATCCTAAATCCTTAGTCTAAGTCCTAAATCATATCACTGTCTTAAACATATCACACCGATAGACTAGTTTCTATATAAATACACAAGATGAGTCTTAAATAAGTGCAAATATTTTTAGGGGTAATATATTTCGATCCCAGAAACACGCCTACGGGTTTTTTTTCACGAAAAAAAAATTGAAAATTCGGATTTTTGTTGTAATTTTTTAGTTTTAACTAGGCAGGCGGGCAGTTAATTTTAGTAACGGTAAACCATGCAATATAATTATTAGAAAATATTCGTATAACATAAATAGGTAAATACCCAGTAAAAAAATCGGCGGTTCTCAATACCGCATATTATTTTGCCTCACAGCATTGTTTTGCCTCACATTTACAAATAAGTTGAGAATTACCATGCTGGTATTCACTGGTATTCATATGATGCTACAATGTATTTTCTCATTGTTGCAGTTACGATGTAAGAGGTAGATCGTTCAGCAAGGCAAGGCAGTGGTCAGACACAGATGTTTTTGGACCGCGGGCCTACTTTGTCACAGTCTCGAATTCAGCAGCCCTAACACTGGACGGTGTCCAGTTAGAAGACGAAGGAATCTACAGATGCAGGGTGGACTTCAAGACATCTCCTACAAGGAACTTTGCTATAAACTTAACTGTTATAGGTAAGTTCTCTTTTATTGTTATTTTATATTTATACAGGGTGTCTCATATAAAGATGCAAGTATATTAACTGCAAAATAAAACGCTTTACTTTATACACTAGACGCGCTATTCGGTAACTATATTAGCATCATCAGCAGATAATTATAATCATCTCCTGATGCTGATCCAGTGTTGTAATGTAAAATGTTTTGGTGCATTGTGGTGGACTAATATTATACAGGCAGTCCTCGATTTACGTCGTTTCGTGTTACGTCGTTTCGAGTTACGTCGAACAAATTTTTGTCACTATTCCTCAAAGTTACGTCCCACTGTTTCGAGTTACGTCATTTTTTGAAAAGAATGATTCAAATTTTGAAAGAAGTTTGGACATAAACAATTAAATTTTAGCAGCATACAAGCAGGGTTGACAGATCCTCATAATGAAAAAGCGGGACAGTGTTGCTCATTACTTAATTAGTAACTATTACGACATTTGATGACACCCACAATAAATGTTCCAACCAAAAAAAAAATATCTACTTTATAAATATATCTACTTTACTCTCTGGTATTTTTGTGGTTGCCATATAGTATTATATTTACTATTATGGATAGTTAAAAATACTTTTTATGACTAGATAGTAAAAAAGAGGGACTGTAAAAATACTCGCCCTGATTTGTTTTTCATAAAAAAACTTTCTAAAATATAATTCGTTTTTTATATTTTTGTTATTTTTTTTGCTTTTTGTATTATTATAAGTTTAACTACACATACAATACACTGTTTCGCAAACCTCAATTATTTAAAAATACCATAATATTAATATATACAAAGCATATCCCTTTGTTTTATTTTATTTTTATCTTACAAAAGTACCTAACTTCCCCATTTTCTATAGGATCTTATGACAAAATAAGATTCGACTTACGTCGTTTCGACTTAAGGCGCTGTTTTGAAGAACCTAACCTGCCGTAAGTACGAAGACTGCCTGTATTTTGCTGGTGTAACACCAAAAGTTCAAACCCCAAGTATATTATTTTCAGAAACACGCTCAGCGTATTTTAGCAAAAAAAAAGAATATTTTACAATTTTCTTGACATTTTCAGGTTCAGGTTCATACTCCTGAAATTTCTTGTCGTTGTGTTTCAAAATGGAAGCCTTGCAAAGTTGCCATCTCCAACGTTTACCAAATTCTGCATGTTTGTATGTTTATAAGTTTAGGAGAAGTTTAATTTTCTGCACGCAGTAAACTACAATAATTAATTCTTAATTATATCAGTGGTATACTAATAATTCTAGAAAAATACACTGTACTTATTTTTTAACTCTCACTAATACATTTTTACAGTTATTTTCTACTAAACCAAACTAATCAATCCAAACAATTATTGCAGATGTCATTATTACCGCATTACAAAATATTCTCTATTAAGTCATGTGTATGTGTATATTTGCTGATACAGGGTGGGCCAAATTGGAAACTTTTATAGGGAAACACCCTTTTCTATACGAGATAGACGAAAACTAATATCGGTGTTTGGGACTCAATTTTTATCACAAACATCATGGTAAAAACCGCACATCGATATACCGGGTGCGTCTCAAAAATGGCTTACCTCTATAACTTTTTTATTTTTTCAGATAAATAAAAACGAAATTTGGTATTTTAGTATATGACAGAAATTGGGATTGATTGACGTATTCAACTGAGCGTCCGGATTGTACAACGACCTTAGCGCGTGGCCGCGGGCAGCACAGTAGGCAAGCGAGACAGCGACGCGCCGATTTAACAAAATAAATAATTTTAAACCTGCCGTCGTTTCGTTAATAATTATCGTATCGTGTTGATTTTTGTATAGAAATACTCACGAGTCTTTAGAGCTTCCGACAAGCCTAAATAAATGGATTATTTTTTATATTTTCGATTTGTTTACATTGCCCGAGCATATTATAACTTTGAGATAAAAATCTCTCTTATAAATTTTAAAACTGAGCGTCTATGAATTTTTATCTTTCATGAAAAGTAAAAAATCTTATTTTTAAATTGCCCGTATACTCTAGACAAGAATTAAATACTTAGCGGTTATGCGAGGGTATCTTTTACCCCCACTGAGTCAATAACTTCGGCGAGAAATATTCAGAAACGGTCCCGTCTGTACATAAGAGAAGACAGTCGACATTTCAAACACCTCCTATAGCAACATCTCTTAATATTAATTATTATTAGATATACAGTGGCGAACAAAAGTATGAAAACATTTTATAAACCTTTAATATTGTACATAATATGTATATTATTCTGTTTTTTTTTTTTATAAAATACTATTTTTAATTTAAGTGACGGGGTATAAAATATCATACATTAAAAACATAAGTATACACTTAAAAATATTTAGAAAATAAATTCAAAAAAATGGTTAACAAAAGTATGGAAACATTTCTAAAGCATACACCAAAAAAATTATTATTCAATCAATAATTGTAATATTTTTTTTAATACTTAGTCGGCCACCCCTTGGCTTTAATGACTGCTTGACATCTTCTCCCCATCATCGAGTCTATTAGCTTTGCACAATAATCAATTGAAAATTTATTCCACTCTTCCTGCAAAACTACCCATAAATCTTCTCGGTTTGTGATTTGTCTTTTTCTGATTTGCTTTTCTAACTGTATCCAAAGATTCTCGATGGGATTTAAATCGGGCGATTGAGAAGGCCAATCCAAAACCCGAATTTTTTCCTTTGACAGCCAATTCTTCACAAGTCGAGAGGTATGCTTAGGATCATCATCCTGTTGGAAAATCCATGACAAAGGCAGATCATCTTCGTATGGCAACAAGTTTTTCTCCAATATCTCAACGTACTTTTGAGCATCCATACGCCCATCAATTCTGACTAACGGACCAGTACCAGATCGTCTAAAACATCCCCACACCATCAGGTTTCCTCCACCATGTTTGACAGTTGGAATTAAATACTTTGGGTCAAATCTTTGACCAGGAGGCCTTCTCACATATCCTGTAGAATCACTTCCAAATAAATTAAACTTTACTTACTTTCATCACTGAAAACTACTGAAGCCCACTGATTTTGTGTCCAGTCTTTGTGATCTCTAGCAAACTTTAATCTTGCATTCTGTAGCGCCTCGTTAACAAGGGCTTTTAACTTTTTTAGACGGCGCCTACTAAAGGAGAACATTTATGGTAGACGCGCCGTCTAACAGTCATGTCAGAAACGTTTACATCTGGGTATTCCTACTTAAGTCCCTTGTTAATATCTACGGCACTTTTTTTTGGGTCGCTTCTGGCTTTTCTTAAAATTATGTGGTCCATTTTTAAGGAAGTTTTTCGCGGTCTTCCACTTTTAACTGCAGGGTCTACAGTCCCTCTTTGTAAATAACGCTTAATAATCTTACTTACTGTACCCCTTCTGAGGTCCAACCGCCTAGAAATATCAATTTGCTTCACACCCTTTTGATATAATGCAACTATCTTCTGTTTAAAGTCAGAGACATAGTACTTGCACTTCGGCATTGTATTTGGAAATAATACTATTACACCAAGTTACTAAGGCAGACCACTAACTAAAGTAATTTTAAATAAAAATATTTAAAATGCTTCCTTACTTTTGTAAACAACCAAATACCAAAACACCATTATAATCGACAAAACCTTGTCAAAGGTTTTTTATATTTTATCAGTAAAATTTTTGAGGTTAATCAAGAATAGATAAAATACAGTGTTACCAGAAGATATTCCTAAGAAATAGTAAAAATTAAAATGTTTCCATACTTTTGTTCGCCACTGTAGTTCAAATGTGTTGTTGTTAAATAGAATTTAAATTGTTATAAAATTATCAATCTTTTATTGTACATATTATTTTCGTTTTAATTGCTGCTGACAGCTACCGGCGAGCATTTGTTTTCTGTGTTTAAGTTCTTTTCAATGAAATACAATTATACAGGGTCCATAGAGAAAATCAATTTTTCTGTTGATAGCTCTTAAATTATTAATTGTAAAAAAAGTATACTTAAACCATCAAATTCTACGTAAAAAAGTACTTTGGAAATGTGTTCATAAAAATACAAAATTTTTCATCGGAAAAACGTTTGTAAAATTTTGAAAAACTCTTGAAAGAACTCCGAAGCGGTAACAGATGTGAATGTGTGGTTTTTACCATCATGTTTTTGGTACAAAATGAGCTCCAGACACCGATATCAGTTTTCTTTTCCTCTATCTCCTATAGAAAAGGTTTTTAGAGATAAATACCCTCTTTAAAAGTGTCCAATTTGACCCACCCTGTACATATGGCAACACGGTGCTTCGAATAAGATGAGAGTCGCTTGATTGTCGCTTGGTTCCGGCGGTTCTCAAAATGTAAGCAATAAAATTGTCTAAATTTGTGAAAAAACCTAGGATATTTTCATATTTTCAATTTATTATAAAAATTGTAAATAGGAAATATGTTTCATTTGTCCAAATCTGCAACCCTTTACAATGCTTGCACTTATTTAATAGACACTTTATATAATTTATTTTTACACTATTAGTATCTTTTATTGGACAAAAATAGAAGCAAATGGTATATGCACAGGATACAAAACTAAAATGCGTAGCTCTTGCTAATTAAGAGACAAACAAATGTCTAAAGCTTAGGGATTATAAATTGAATTAATACAGCCATCGCAGTTTCGCTCACAAATTGATTTTAGTTTCGAACCGAAGCGGGAGGCCATGTTGAAACAAGAGAATTGAACTGACAGGGAATATAGTAATAACCATATATCAGCTCGCCTAGTGTTTATATCAGTAGTTCGATAATTTTAATGGTATAATGGAGAATTCTATATTGTTATTGTCGAATCACTAGGGGCAATTGGTTTTCTGTCACGGTGCCAGTTTTCGTTTGATTGATAAAGTGGTAAAACTGACCAGCGGGTTTTTGAAATTGTATTTTGTCGATTCACAGCCATTCGTATGTAAACAATATTTTATTTTTTTAGTAACAATGGGAGATATAT